GAGCTCAGTCCAGTGCTCCAGTGTGGGTCTCTGTCTCTATCTCCATCGGTTTTGACCCTACTTCATGTTCTGTCTTTGTGGGAGCCTAGCCAGTTTGGATGTTCACCTTTCTAGACATGGATGGAGGGGGGAGGACCTTGGACTTTCCACAGGTCAGGGAACCCTGACTGCTCTTTGGACTGGAGAGGGAGGGAGAGAGGAGTGGGGGGGGGAGGGAAATGGGAGGCTGGGAGGAGGTGGATACTTTTTTTTCCTTTTCTCAATAAAACAAAAAAAAAAGAAAAAGAAAAAATATTGTTCATTTTAACTCTTTCCAACTATTTAAAAATACAAAAGCCTTTCTTGCCTCACAGCCTGTGGGAACCCCTGAAAGTGGCCAAATCTGGTTTATAGTTCTAATCATCTACCTCTTGCTTTATATTTTTTATTTTACTTTCCAAACTGGCCTTGAACTTCCTATGTAGACAATGCTGGCTTTGAATTTTCTAGATAACTGAGACTAGCCTTGAACTTCTAATCCTCCCAAGTGATGAGATGATAGGTGTGCATCACCATGTTTGATGTATGTGGTACCGAGAATTAATACCAGGATGTCATGCATGCTCAACAAGCACTCTATAATCTGAGCTACATCCCCATTCCCCAATTCCTGCCTTAGAAAACTGATTTCTCAAAATTCAGTCCCCAGTTCACCAACCATGCAGCATCTCCAAGAAACACATAAGGAAGACTTAGTGGGGTGCCATCTACATGTTCTACCTTGAGAAGCACTGATGTAAAATCTACAGAGACCCACAGGCCAGGCTGTAATCAACCTATGTACCGTACCTGGCCAGAGATGACCTGAGAAAAATCCAAAACTCTCTGTGCCTCAGTTTCCCCCACATGCATTATCTATAATCTCCCACAGGCATGTTGTGAGAATCCACACTCATTCAAGCACACATACATCGATGAAAACAAAAATTGTTATTATTACAAAACCTTATGTGGTTTTCATAGTGATCCTCTGAAACAAGCAATATGTTTACCAAAATAGTAGAGGAAAATGGAGAAACTCACTCAAGATTGCATGTGGGTCTTGAAAGAAAGCAAAGGTTCGAGTGGACATAAAAGTACAAAGTCCCCCAGGCCCCAGGTCATCCCACCACGTATCCTTCTAAAGATCTGCTCTCTCCCTAGCCCCTCTTTAGCTCCTAAACCCTTAAATATCCCCTAAGAACACCTGCCACACAGAATCTTTCAAGAATCTGTACCCCAATTTTCCCTTTAATTCCCTGAAATTTATCTTCCACTAAGATGCATATTGTTTTTTACAGCTTCTCTTTCTGGTTATAGACTGTAAATTTTCCTTCTGCTGAGTCTTGGAACTGACTGACTGTTTTTCATTATATTTGTAAGGCTCAGGGAAAAAAAGGGGGGAGGCCATTTCTTTATTGGAGAATTCTGACATTTATTAGCATAATAAAACTTTCAAGATGAAATTGCAGTTTTCCAGACAGTAATTTCATTTGCAGGACAACTTACAAGGAATTTATCTGAAAGCCAGGTAAAACCTAAAATATATGAGACATTCAGAAAGTGCCAGCCCCAAATAAAATGAAATAAATGGGTTAGAGATGGAAAATTCAGCTGTTATCTCTCACATATTAATTAGTGGTCGACAGGAACCGCAGCCAGGACATCAGGTTTGCAAGCCATCCTGGACTCCTTTCAAAAATGCTGTGGGAACTTTTTTTCCAGTGAGAAGGAACTCATCCATGGAATCCCCTGACACAGCACTACTCTGGCAGGAAGCTGTCTCTGTGCAGTTGTGGACAGCAAGGTCTTTCATCTTTCATCTGGACAGAGATGCCCTATTTATCACGTACTTGATCAGCCAGAAGAAACTAATAATGACCACACACAAAAAAAAATCCTTATCCCAGTTATACAGAGGTTCAGGGAGATCCTCCCAGTTATATGGAGGTTTAGAGATTCTGCCAGTTATGTGGAGGTTTAGTGAGATTCGCCCACTTACAAGGAGGGTCGGTGAGATTCGGTGACCTGAACAAGTTCACGTGGCTGGTATGTAGTAAAATCAGAACAAAAGCGGGTCTTCTGAGTGGTCGTAGGAATAACCTAGTTGGGATAGAACTTGGCTATGGTTTGGCAATACCATAGGATTCAGAAAGTAGGGTCCCTCCACCATCATTTCATCTTGTTCACGCAGTGGTGCAGGCTGACTGGAGGGGAGCTATGGAGCTTTAATAACCTAAAATTGTTATCACTTAACAGACTGAGGATGCTTATGGCAGAACACATGTGCTGCCCCAGCACACAGGAGGCGACCACAGGAAGATCAGGAACTCGGGACCAAACCTGAGCTACATAATAATTTCCAAACCTCTTAAGCTACCTGGTAAGACCCTCACTCAATCTACAAAAAAAAAAAAAGAAAAAAAAGGGATGTATGTATGGTAGGGACTACTTAACTTGGGTTCCCAAAAGGTAAAACCTAGGTGAACTACCTACTTGTCTCAGGGGTAGCATCCCAGAGAGGTAAGAGGCAGAGAATGAGAGGCAACAAGGGTGTCGGTGGACTTAGCTACTCCATATTGCATGACGGTCTCCTAAGAGACCACAGAACAGTTTCTCCAGGAGGATGAAGAAAAAAGATGTGCTTGACCAAAATGAGCATAAACCCAATGCTCACTGCGGCAACAGGAAGTAAATAAATTATATGCCTCTTTTTTCCACTAAAAGGGGAAGGGGCTAAAAAGGGACCCAAGCATAGCAGTACACACTTATAATCCCAGAACATAGGAGGTGAAGACAGGAAAATCAGGAGTTCAACATAGTGAGTTTAGGTCATGATGCATCCATCCCATGAGATCCTATCCCCCCAAAAATAAAAACAAACACAAGGGTGGTGAAGAACAACTGGAGTAATTAGATTGAGATGTTCTAAATTCACTGAGGAATTGGGCTTTCTTGCTTAAAAAATGCAATCTCAAACTCAATCAAGTCAAGAAATATGAAATAGTCAATACAAAAATAACAGCAGGACACAATAAGACAAGTCCAGAACACCGTTCTGTTTGTTTGTTTGTGTTTTGAGACAGGGTTTCTCAGTGTAGCTTTGGAGCCTGTCCTGGCACTAGCTCTTGTAGACCAGGCTGGTCTCGAACTCACAGAGATCCTCCTGCCTCTGCCTCCCAAGTGCCAGGATTAAAGGTGTGCGCCACCACCACCTGGCCAGAACACAGGTTATTTTGCAGAACTGCCCAATGTATACAACAAATCAGGGGTCGAGTAAAGGACGAGGGGTGTTATCTGAGACATAAGAGAATACCAGATGCTACATGTAAGTCTTGTCCAGATTCTAATAGACGAAACTATAAAGGATGCTTTCTGGTCCTAGACCTTACTGAAGAAATATTGGTAGTTGACAGTTTCAGGGGAAGACAGTCACTCCTCTTTGAAGACATGGTCCTAGTAAGATTTCCACAATGCAATGAAAGGCCATACCCATGCACATATGGGCAGCACTAATTGCACTTAGTGAGTTATATTTCATAAATACACAATATCAGGAGTATACTGGGGTGATACGGTGGGGAGGATGGGGACAGGGAACAGTCAATGTTATCATTTTTTCATTGCATAGATGTATGAGATTCTCAAGAATAAAGAAAAACTGTTTAAAAGACAAATAAATAAAGGTCCCCTAAAAACCAAGTGTGGCATTAACAGATGAACACACGAGGCTGAAGAACACAGCGAATGAGCAAACGCAGAATCAGTCATTGAAACTGACTGCAACGATAGCCACGGAGGTGGGTGATGGCAAGAGTGGCCAAAGAGGAGCAAAATGGAAGAACCAAGAGATTGGGGAGAGAACGGTGGAGAATGAGAGATGCCTGGCACAGCTCTCAAAGCAGGAGAAACAGTTCCTCGGTATTTCCAGAGTCCATCTATCCTTTAGCTGCAACACAAACCCTGTGCTCCATGCATTATGGTATCAGTAAATCTTGCAGGGTGCCGCATTAGGACCCAAGCCTTGCAGATTTCTGAGCCTACAGTTCTGCTGTCGCATCTGCTATCTCCTTGCCTGTGGCTGTAAGGGAACAACATGATTATGCCCAAATTAGATACCATCCGTGAGAGTTATTGAGTTATTGGGAGCGTACTCTCGATTGATATGAAGAACATTTTCAGGTTAAAAAGACAGAAGAATTAAAGTAAAAACAGAGCTAAGTCTTTATGTGAGAGAGAGCATCCTAGACAGCAAAGGCCTCATCAAGTACCTGAAATCCATCCTTGGATTTATAATCTATCCCAGATCGTGTGCATAGTCACATGAAATCATTACCATGATATTGCAAAACAGGCGCTGAGATATGAGAAAAGGTAGAAGCAGTTAAACAAGGAAGACAGCACAGAGTCAGTCTCCTATTCTGAATGCCGAGCTTAGAAACTTTAGGTAATTCTCGTGATAGTATCAACAAGCTCATGAACACTAGGAAAGATGCAACATCCATGTCTCCCATGTAAGTTAGTCACAAGCCTGCTTGTGATCTCGGTGACTTTATGAAGTGGTAGAGGAAATAATTTGCTAGAAACCATTGCACACTGGTGTTGGGAGTTTTTTCAGAATGGCATTCACTCAGCAAATACTTATTGGGTGTTGACTCTATATGAATTGTAAGGTTCGGCACTGGATTGCTTTGGGTTATGAAACATGATCCATTTGGTCTAGGAGTTCGGCTTAGAGCAGCCATGACAGACAGGCCTCAGGGAGCATCCATTATTTAGGGTTTCTGTCTTGAGCTTTGAAATGGGGCCAGTCTCACAAATGCAGTCACGTTTTGTAGGTCACATTCTGGAGACTCCCTGTTACCATTGTTCATCTGAAGAATGATGGATCTTCTAGAGGACCATGAGGCTTTGAGTTGGGATATTCTTAAGCTCAGTTCAAAATCGGGATACTCAAAGGAGTCCAAAGAGGAGGAAAACCATCATTCAAACAGCAGGTGATAATCTGGTGGGCTATCCCTCTGTCCGCAGGGCTCCTGCAGCAACTCTCCCCCTGAGACAGTGATGATTTCCTCCTAAAGGGAAAAAGAAGAAAGGGAATCCAATTAGGATCAAGAAGAGATATAAATACTCATGGGGAATCAGCTAGTGAACTGGAGACAGAAAGACTAAGGCCAGCCATGCATCTAGCTCCCCTCACTCAACTTCCCAGAAATAAAAGGAAAAATCTTTTAAGAAGAAATGCATCAGTGCTATATGAGAAAATAAGAAAGAGCACAAACAAGTAAAATTCTGAAATCATTGTTGAAAACCAGATTGTCTGAGAAGAAATGCAAGCTGTGAACAGATTGGTGACACAGCCCCCAATTAATGTTTGCCCCCATTCTTGGTGAAACTAGAGAGACTCAAAATACAGACATTTCCATACCCTTGAAAGGGCTATTCATTGTTGGTCCCAAGCCTATACCAGAAGACACTAGATTTGGGAAACAGAAATTGTCTACTCACTGATAAACTTAAGACTGAACATTGGAAGACTGTCTTATTATTCTTGAAGCATTTGAGGACCACCTCAAGCATAGCAGAAAAAATGCTAAACTCAACAAACTTCTAAGAAAGTTTATAAAGGAAACAAGTTTATAAAGGAAACATAGAGATGCTTTAAAAGATCTACAATATCTTTTGCAACAGAATAAGTCATCCAGGAAACAAGAGTGGGCTGTTGTAAGAAAAAAAAAAAAGAGCATGCAATTGAAAACCATGGCTGTTTAAATTAAAAATATTCTCAGCAGAATCGATGTAACTAAAGAGCAATTTGGTAGACACGGGAATTATAACACCAAGAGAAAGATGCTCAAAATAGAAAATGGACTGTGAGTAAGAAAAGATAATTTACAAGTAACTAACTGGAAGTAGCCTTGAAGTATATGAAAAGACACCCCAGCGTCAGTGGCCACGAGAGAAAGGCAAGCTGGGCAAAACTGAGCTCTAGTGTCTGTCCATGTGATGAGAAAAACAGTCTTCTATAGCTCTTGCAGAACACGAATCGGTGTCATGTTTTTATATGGCAATCTGGCAGGTCTTCTGTAATTAAAACGTGCATGCTTTTCTTTCCAGCAATTTCAGTTCAAGGAACTGATCCTGGAAAATCCCGCGTATGTATCCATAGTGACAAAGTGGCATGTACGTGGTACAAACGTCTCCGAAACACTGCTCGTGACCATGAAACTGGAAGGTGGAGAGATGGGCACAAGAGGAGAATAGGCAATTAAGCTGCACTCTACACCCATACCAGGAATCCCTGGAGCATTGACAAGTCCTGGTACATAGACTAACGTAGAAAGATCTGCTAGACATAATTTTGAGACGGGTTCTCAGGAGTCCCAGGCTGGCCTTAAACTCACTACGTAGGTAATGATGACCTTGAATATTTTATCCTCCTTTCTCTCCCTCTTGAGTGCTGAGATCGCAGACTCACTTACACACCTACACACCCAATTTATGCAGTGCTGGGGATCAAACCCAGGACTTTATGCTAGAAAAGTGCTTTAATAACTGACCTTCACTGCCAACCCCTCTAGCTACATTTTAATAACGGATAGCACCTACTGATGATGTTATAATATTTTTTTGTCACTCTACATAATGATAGCTCACTGACATCTAACAGGGATGTCATGGAATCCACCCTACTAAAGAGGAAACTGAGTCACAAAAGTCTGAGTAGTAACCCAAAGCCATGCATAACAATGACATTAGGATTTAAACTCGACATTCTGGCTCCGGGGACCATGCCTTTAAAACCTACCAAAGGCAGTTTCTTAAATATGGGGTTGGAGGGTAAATTGCTGGGTTACATGCTAGTAGTTACAAAACTACTAGTCAAGCATGGTGGCACATGCCTTTAATCCCAGCACTCGGGAGGTGGAAGCAGATGGATCTCTTTGGGTTTGAGGCCAACTTGGTCTACAAAGCGAGTTCTAGGACAGCCAGTTAGTTATACAGAGAAACCCTATCTTGAAAAAAAATCATAAAGCTATGTATTTTCTTATGTGAATAAATTTTATTATCACTGCCCATCAAATAGCACATGGCACACTAGTATTTCAAGGCAAAGCATGGAATTGGGGGCTTGAAATGAATGCGGCTGACATATTAATGTAACCATGAACTAGAGGTGTAATTAAAATTTAATATATCGCTGGGTGGTGGTGGCACAAGCTTTTAATCCCAGGACTCAGGAGGCAGAGGCAGGTGGATCTCTGTGAGTTCAATGCCAGCCTGGTCTACAAAAGAGAGCTCCAGGACAGGCTCCAAAGCTACGGAGAAAAACAAATTAAAAAAAAAAAGCAAAACAAAACAAAATAATTTAATTTATCAAAACTGGCCACCAGATCTCCATATGGGCCTAGATAATATCTCTGTATAGAGCTAGAAGTAAAATTGTTGATCTCCAGAATTTAAATTTGAAATAAATAAAGCCCTTGTGAGACATCTGGTCTGGCCTTCCTGTGTAGAATCTGCCCGGAGAGGTGGGCACTCACACTTTGATTGAAACACTGATGGAGACGAGGAGCCAGAGCTGATGAAGTAGCTTAGTTTGAAGAGGAAAACAAACAAACAAACACTGGGGCTCAGAGGGAAGTGCAAGCCGAAGAGGAAGGCAGCCCAAGGTTTAACTCTTGATTGCAGCTGGTACCAGCCATGAGAACTTAGCCAAGTGCCTTGGCCTCCCAGATCTTGATTTCCTGGTCTATGAAAAGGACTAAGGCACTCATTAACATGGGGGTCACAGTGATTAAGAGGGCATGCATGCTTGACTCAGAACAGTGTTACTAGAATCCACACACTCCCTTCCTTCTCCTTATGCTGACTGTTAGGTGGCCCTTTCCAAACACAAGTAGAGATCCACTCTGACCAAGTCTAGTTCCACAGTAGTGCTCTGAGCCCAGGTGTCGATGAATGAAACTTCTATCTCTCTTGTGTTCCTCTTTCTGTCTCTTTCTCTCTCTCTCTCTCTCTCTCTCTCTCTCTCTCTCTCTCTCTCTCTCTATCTCTCTGTTTTTGGTGTACTGTTGTTACTGCTCCTGCTGTTGTTTGAGGATTTTATCCTTGCTGTTTCTAGCTATGTAACCCAAGCTTCCTTTAAACTGGTGATTCTCCTGCCTCAGCATCCACAGTGCTAGCATTGCAGGTGTTTCTCAACATGCCCAGCTAAACAGGTGATTTTCTATTTGTTTTATTCATAAGGCCAGGTGAGGTGGTATCTCTCAAGGCCTGGGATCATCTGTGGATGGGGGGGGGGGGAATCTAAAAGCAATACACAATCCAAAAGATGCTATTACAGAAAAATTTCAGTGCAAGCAATCTCTGTGACATCTTCTACACCTGTGAAACTCAATTAGGTGTTTGACCTGGAGTTCTCATAACCTTATCCCAGAATGTCTCAAACCTTCTAATTGATGAGGTATGAATGTTCTCACAGTGATGACAGCTGCCAACATCTGCATTAACACAAAGGCTGCTTCTCACTATCTGTGAGACATTTGCAAGACAGCATCTTCCCTGATGTGGATCAATGATGGGACAAATGGCAGAGTCCTGGACACAGGATCTCAATACTCAATGAATAGTCACAGGATGCAGTTATGGATACAATCTTATCAAAATCCACAAGATCTCAAATAAGTACTGGTTGATCTTATGCTTTGAATGTGCTCCCCAAAAGCATGGGTTCCAGACGTAATTGCAATGGAATGGAGTTAAGGGAGAGAAGCTAGAAGAGGCAATCAGGTCAAAAGGCTCTGTCCACAACAAGATCAAAGCCACTATCTCAGGAATGGGTTCCATGTTATAAGGTGAGTATGGCCCTGTGCACAGGGATGTGCATGGGGGGGGGGAGAAAGAGAGAGAGGAGATGCATGTGTCTGTCTGTATGTGTATATGAGAGTGGTCTTGCCTGTACACACAGGCAAGTGTGGAAGCCAGAGGTCACTCTCCAACTTAATTTTTGAGACAGAGCCTGTCTGCGAGCCTGGAACTTGTCATTTATGCTACAATGGCTGGATCTGCTGGTCTCTACCATCTCACTCTGAACCTAGCACAGGAGCACAGGTGTATGCCGCCATGACTGGCTTTCGCGTGGGTGTTGGGGATCTGAGGTCAGGTCTCATGGTCACACAGCAAGCTCTCTACCCACGGAGCCATCTCTCATATTTGGCCCCTTGCCCTGGCCCATTCTCTTGTTCTCTCTCCCTCCTTTGCTTTTTCATATTCTGCCAGGAGATGATGTAGCAAGAAAGCCCTGCTTGAGGGACAGTCCCTCTGTCTTGGTCTTCTCAGAGTCACAAACTGAAAAGATGAGTATCTTTTCCTTACAAATTTCTCAATATGTTTTTCTCTGTTGTAATGGCAAGGAAAGCAAACGACATGGAAGCTCGGTAACAGTAAGTGACCTGGTTAAGGTCACATGTGTCCCAAATGGAAAAGCAAGTTCAGTCAAGAAAAGTGGTGATTCTATGGTAGAGATAAGTTGTTATAGCCACACGGATGCTAGCTTCAAAACTTCAGAGAGGCGAGACTAAGACAAGGGCTTGGACAAAGAGCCAGCTTCAGCCCCCATGCTGACAACAGGTACTCAACGGAGAGAGGCCTGGGAGTGAGGTTACAGATGCACAGGGGAGAAAGCATGAAATATGAGGTTGAGGAGAGACCATGGACCCCAGAGCCTGCCCCGGACAACCTCTGGTCTCTTCCACCTGAATGTCCCATAGTTCTGAGATCCCGCAGCCTTAGGCTTAGAGCCTGCACCTGCTGCGCTTGTACCAGGCTCTCGTCAGCCCAAATCTCTGCCAATCCCATGCTCTACCAATGCTTCCAAGAGGGATACCTTGTGGAAATCAATGAGGTCCGTGAGGGTGGCATGGCGATTAGGGTCCACTCCCAGAAAGCTGTAGAAGTCCCCAGAGGCATCCACAAGAAAGTGCTTGAAGCCTCTCTGTAGGCGGTAGGATAGGGTGTAACCCCAGATCTTCTCACTGACCCGGACCAGAAATGCTCCCTCGGTCATATTCTCCAAAAGGTCTTCCGCATTCTCTCGGCTAATAATTCCTAATTTAAAAAAAAAAAGGAAAGGAAAGGAAAAAGGTTAAAATGGCCTTTGTAGGTTCTGTACTTCCTAGTCCACTGCCAAGTCATCTTCCATCCCATTCTCTCTAGCTCAGTTCACAAGCCAACCATGCTGTCTGGGGTATGGAAAAGGAAGAGAAGGGCCTTAAGGGTTGACTGGTCTCTGCCTGCTGTAGCAGAAGTATACAGACCCAGAACACTCAGCCACAAACCTGAAAACAGCATTCCGGCAGGAACCAGACTGGAGCATGCTTTCCTCAAATTAAAGCACACTAATTTGGATTAATTAGGTAAGCAAGGAATTACTAATGAACTGAAATTATAGCATCTATTGATTACAAATACTAGAGAGCCTTAAAGATCAGAGTTAATGACTAGCCAGAATGATGGAGGACCATGTCACAATGACCTGGTACAGTAGATGAAACCTAAATAGTGTTTTCCCATAAGGCACGAGGGTCCAACCTTGTGATATTGGAACACAACATTGTCCTCAAAAAAGCTCACCCTAAAACAATACACAAGCATTATGCTTTGACTATGCTTACAAATTTCTCCACAGCTGTCCTGGGGCATGTGCAGCCTCTGTGCATGAAAGAAGCATCCACTGGATGCCTGTGCACACTGAGTGCAAGGTTCCTTAGTGGGACAAGTAATAAAATGCCACTTCACATCAGGACCAGAACTTCCTAAGGGGCTTCAACCTATGCCATGTGATACTGCCACTCTATGAAGTTACTTGGAATTACTTATGCATTGTCATCATAAAAATGCTTCTATAAAAGCCGGGTGGTGGTGGTGCACGCCTTTAATCCCAGCACTTGGGAGGCAGAGGCAAGTGGATCTCTGGGAGTTCAAGGCCAGCCTAGTCTGCAGAGCGAGCACCAGGACACCAGGACATACTCCAAAGCTACACACAGAAACCCTGTCTCAAAAAAATAAAAAAGAAAAGAGAAAAAGAAAGAAAAAGAGAGAGGGAGGGAGGGAGGGAAGGAAGGAAGGAAGGAAGGAAAGACCAAGTATTTGGTGGGTCAAACTCTGGCATTCAGGGAGATAGGAAGAGGAGAAGGAACCAGAAGGATTTGTTCTTCAGCACCACCCCATACTCCAAAGGATCTTCTGACAAACCCTTAACTTCTCCAATGCTCTTTTATTGTATGAGGCCACTTGTTCATTTCCCGGCCATTCAGACTCCCTAAATAATCACACAGAAACTATATTATTTAAATCACTGCTTGGCCCATTAGCTCTACCTTCTTATTTGCTAACTCCTACGTCTTAATTTAACCCATCTCCATTAATCTGTGCATCACCACGAGGTTGTGGCCTACCAGCAAAATTTCAGCACATCTGTCTCTGGTGGTGGCTCCATGGTTTCTCCCTGACTCTGCATTCAATTTAGTTTTCCTCAATTACCTTTATTCTTTCCTGCACAGGTCCAAGACAGTTTCTTTATTAACTGATGGTATTCATAGCATACAAAGGGTAATTCCACATCACTCTTTGATATTTACATGATTATAACACAGATCTATTCCACAGGTACATTATGGCTTCCAAATCCAATAAAAAGTTTTAAATGTTTTTTGATAGATTGGTTGTTTTCTGATCCTGGCAATAGTTGTGTGTTTGATGGGTCTCCTGCTTTTTGAGAATAACAATGAATTGTATGTAACACATCCCCTGTGCAACACCTTTTTGCCTACTTGACAAGGGTCACACCCTTTAGGTCCCCTGTGCCTGAGGTAGGGGACATGATTAGGTTCAGTAACACCTGTGTATTCCAGGAAGAGGATTGCAGGATCTACATCCTTTATATAACATGGCTCGGTATGTACACATAACCTGAAATCCCTCTGCAATGGGTGCTTTAAGTCATCTCTAGGCAGCTCACACTGTCTGATACAATGACATATTAGGCAACAATAAGTCTGTACATGTTTTATATAAATGAAACCTTTGTAGAATAACTACATTTCCATCCTCAGTTGGTTGAATCCATGGATACAGAACCCACAGACATGGAGGCCATACAGGACATATTAAGTGAAAAAATAGCAGGGGCTCGTGAAGGTTGTGACCACAGCGGGAAGTGGAGTGCTATTGCCACAAAGTGTGACACATACCCAGCTGATCCTGTTTTCCTTTACACACTTTGAATGTCATGGCTTTTATGATTTTTTAAAAATGCTGGGAGGTCCCCAGCAGCAGTAGGCAGGCAGTGGGCTCTGGGAGCAGCCAGTCCCAGGCAGAGACAGCTGCGGGTCCCTGTAAGATCCTGGAGGGCCATGTGGCAGCAGGCAGCGGGCTCTGGGAACAGCCAGTCCCAGACAGAGATGGCTGCAGGTTCCCAAGCGGTGGCTGGTCCCAGGCAGGGAGACACATGGCAGGCAGGAAGGAGACAGAGACATGGATAGACACAGCATGTAGAGTGAGGTTGAATATTTATTCAGGGGGTTATGGAGGGGAAAGGGAGAAGGAGGGGCAGAGAGAGAAGAGGAGAAAGAGACAGAGAAGGGGGGAAGTGGAGAGAAGGAAGCATGCGCTGGCCAGGAGGAAAGGTGAGAGTCAAGATGGAGGGCAGGGGTCAGTGGAAGTGGGCGTAGCTTGCCTCTTAAAGAGCCGAAAACCATAACAATGGCTACAGTAATAAACTAAAGCAAGCAGCCTCTGTTCTTCCATGGACCCTTAATGGGAATGACAGAGAAGGGGTTCACCTGACTCTCCCTGCAGGTATGTAGAGCCCAATAGTTACAGAGTCATTTATTGGCCATCACTGGAAAATGATAGGGACACTATCAGGTGACAAGCCCTTCCTTGGAGTCGCCTCTCTGCCCAGGGTTACTGATTGCTGCAAGAGCAGGGGTGTGTTCTGAGTTAGAAAACAAGCCAAGCTAACTCCGCCTTCCCACCAGCAATGCCTTACTGTTCCAAGGCTGGTATTTGCAGTTAGCAAGCCAGTGAAGGGGGCCAGCAGCATCCAGCTTCCCCCATTGCTGCATCTCAGTACAGACCTTAAGTGAACACATCCTGACTCCACTAACTCTTGCCCCAAATCCCACCTGGATGCTCTCAAACACCATGTGTAAATTCTCCACTATCAAAATATTTTCTCAACAAAAGGAGAGCACGTCTTAGTCCCAAAACTTGCCATGCTTGGATATACCCATAAATCTGCCAGGTAACACAGCCTCAAACCAACTCAGGTCTCCACCTCTTCCTCAACCCCAATTCCATCCTAGGAAATCATTAGCTGGGAACTGAAGCCACCCAAGTAACCAAATGAGCTCTTTTTATTTCTGTCAGTGCTTCACTCTGAGAAAGAAAGATGCACAGGCAGGCCGGCCGACTACCCTGGTTCCCCTTTTATGAGTCTCCATTTATCTGACGTGCATATTTCTTAAAGCTTTCACCGCGGCTTCGCCTCACCGGCTGACAACTCCCCTATTACTGCTTAGCTATTTCTCATTCATTTTTGTGACTTCCCTTCCTTATTGCCACACTTTGCAGACAATATCATTAAGGAGGCTGGAGTTATTAAGCTCTTCATTCTCAACGGTTTCCTCAAAGCATCTGAAAGCCACAGAGATTGTGATGAATGTGTTCAAATGCCTTCATTTTCTTTTTTTCTTAACCTCCCAGTGAAACTGAACCATGGCTAACTGCTGAGACAAGGGTTTCAGCAGACAGCCTTTCTGGCTTTAGTTATATTTATGCTCAAGAGGGAATATCGTCTGTGACTGCTCACAGCCGATGTGCCAGGTTCTAATCACCGAGGCCACTGTGCAGGTTAGTGTTCTGTCTCTCCAAAAAGCACCTTAGATGGTCAACACAGAAAAGGACAAGGTTTGCTTATGGTCGAGCAGACCAACTTTAGGCCTCTGGAGGAGGAGCTAGGGGGCACAGCCTTAAGAATGGCACAGGGTTGCATCATCATTTAAATTTATAGGGCGTTTTCCTCATGAACTTTAAAGTTGTTCCTGATTTCATTCCTTCGTATTTTCACAAATTCCCTTGAGATTTTGTTGTTTGTTCTTCAGCCTGGCTTGTGCATGAGCAATTGTTCAGGCATACATACATACATACATCTGAACTCAAAAATCCTCATGTCAGCCTCTTGAGTGCAATTCCAAAGGTAGACATGTACTCTGAATGTGTGATGGTTTGTCAACACAATTTAATAATGGTGATGTTAAAATGGTTAATACAAGAGAACATAAGAAACAGTAAATACCTCATGTGAATATTCAAAACAGTATTTTGATTTATCTAGTAGAGAGTAGTAGGATAATCGGCAATAAAAAAAAATGGCATAGGGGTGGAGGAACATGCTCATCTCCCGGGGAGGAATCCAAAGACGAGTGACGGGCCCCCACCCATCATCCCGTTTAACGTCATACTCCCAATACCCGCTTTGGGTTCATCCACCTCCTACGCACCGGGTGGTGACCCAGTTAACGGCCTTTATCACACGGATCTTGGAGACAATGCGCATCTAAATTTTTGAACATGACAAAGAGTGACAGCCACCACTTAGCCAAATGATTTCTGGGGAAATATTCTTTGTAGCACTTATGTCAACTGGATAGACCCGTGAAAGGCGTGATTATGTGTGTCCTGTTAGCCTTGTAACCCACCTAAGGCACCTAAACAGCAGAGAGCAGGCAGTTTTTCTCTGCAGAGACCAGCCTCACCTGCTCGGTCCTGCCTGCCGTCTGCTGGCAAAGGAACTGGGACCTTCCTTTGCTTTCTCTCTATGCAATTTCAACAATGTAGATTATGTCTACACCTGCCCTGGCCAGTCCTAAAACAGTCCATCAGGCAGTCCGTTTACCAGGCCACAGTGATTGGTGTAGGTGTGATCATATAACGTAACTATCTGGGAACAATCCTGGGGATGCTGAATGAAAGCCCGCCCTCTCTGCTGCTGCCTTTAAACTTCAGAGAACATAGGCCTGGCGCCTTAAACAATGGCTGCTTCG